TTATATATAATATTTAATTTTTTACCTGGACCTTGGCCTGAATTTCAACTTAAGCTACTGAGTTCCGTAAACAGGCTTATTTTTCAGCAAAGCAGGTAAGATTTTGGCAGAGAAATGTACATTTATTTATACTGAACTCTCCACTAGAGCTAAATGAGAGACACTTGAGAAGGAAAGAGAGATGGAAGGGGTTGGTCCCAAAAAAAGGGATAGTCCCACCAAACGTCTCCTCCTTCGGGATAGCTAGGAGCTATGCATCAATGGGGCATGTCAGTTTCAAGTGAATGGATTGGCTGAATATAATACAGGTGACATTTTGTTGTTATATGTTCTTTTTCTTTCTTTCCTGCGGACTTAACTTTGTTTGCTGTGTCTAGTCTCCCCGTCAGTGGACCCTTGCGGTGCTTTGCTGCACTGTGCTTCTTTCTCTCTATCTGCTGCTGGTCCTGATAACGCACAAGTTGGACCATCTGGACTTGTCACGGGTAGGAACCATTCCGTTGTGTGGTCCACAAAGCCAGTACAGATACTGGGTGCTGGTGAAGACAGGCTGGAGGAAGGGGGCAGGTATGTACTGACTGACTGTAGAGGGTATACACACACTCCTACTGTTATAAAGGAACACAGTCTTAAGGAAATGTGGGGTATTCCACTCCCATTTTAATCCTCTTTTAGTGGGGACATTTTTTTTTTTCTGTTTAAATGCATGTTGCCGAGTAATCAACTGCTGCTCAATCCCAGTTATCAGCAGCAGTGAGAAATGTCAGAGATCTGGCACATTCTATTCCAATATCCTGCCAGCTGCATAGGAGCTGCTACATTGCTAATTATTAGGGGTTGGTATATAAACAATTTGAAGGGCTGTTCGCCTTGTGAGTATCTGTGAACGTTCATCCTGTGTGAATTGAGCTGGAGAAAGTCCAGCGGAGGGCAACCAAACTAATTAGGGGAATGGAGGACCAGAGCTATGAGACGAGGCTACTGAACTTAAACATGTTCACGATGGAAGTAAGGAGATTAAGGGGGGATATGATTTTCATGTACAAGATGTTCAATGGGGACAGCAACATCAGCAACAAACTCTTTAAAATTTACTCCATTACAAAAACTAGAGGCCACCACCTAAAATTGGTGGAAAAAAAATTCCAGCACAAGGGGTGAAGGGGGTTCTTCACAGTCAGAGCGGTTAGGGTCTGGAACTCACTGCCACGGGCAGTGATTTCAGCTAAGAGTGTGGAATTGTTCAAGAAACAAGATATTGGAGCTTCCCTGGACCCTTTGTGCGTCTGTGGCTCTGCCGTATGTTACTTTCTGGGGGTGATGAGAGTTGCTCCTGTCCACCTGGTGTTAGGTCTCTCCATGATACTTGACCCCTAGGTAAGTGGCTGTACAATTCAATCATACTAAGAATAGATGTATATAGCTGAATGGAAACATTGAAAACTGGAAAATATGATTTATAAATGGATTATGAAAACGCATATAAACATGTCGATGAACAATGTATCATCTATTTACAAACAGATTTATACCGATCCCCCTGAAGAAGCCTTCGAGCGTAACGTGTAGGGGAATAACAAAGCAATACAACACTGCATACGAAAATCAAGGAATTATGAATATGCATAGTGGAATATGAATTATGAATTATATAGAAAATATTTATGAAATGTGAAAAGAAGTAATAATTTTAGGGTTATACGAATCATGTATATATATATGAGCATTGTTTTTAATTAATTAATTATGTAATAAACCTTTTATATGAACATCAACAAATTTGTATGAATTATAATTATATGAGTTCCCTCAAAAAAACCCTTCACAACTTAGGTTGTAAATGTATATTAATATTTATAAGATGTTCTACATTTTGAGACACCAATCCTTTTGTTTGCTTGATTTTCATTTAGGAACTACTGCCCATGTCGGCATCTGCCTGTATGGGCTGAACAAGAGTGGAGCCCGTCACCTAAACAGCAGGGGAGGTTTAACCACAGGAATTTGCGAGTACGAGTACTGGTACTTGCCGAGTACTTACAAGTACGAGTACTGATACATTTTTGTTTATTGTCATGTGACAGTTTTTCTAAAACAATACAGACTAATGATTTCAGGACAGTGGTGGAGTGCCAGAGCCGGGTCCCAGCTGCAACCGCTGCAACCCTGGTAGTTCTCATGAAAATGCCAAGTATCTGCACTGGTACTCAAAAAGTATCTGTGCATCCCTAAATATATACTGTATGTATATAATAAAGCTCTGCTGATCAGGGGCAATGGTCTTTCGAATACATAAGTCCAGCACTGTGTGCATGCTTGTTGTGAGCCTGTATATAACTGACTAAACCGATGTTTCAGGTCACTGCAATCTGTGCAATCTGATCTCCTCTGCCATGCAGGTCTTTTTCACAGCACAAGCATAGAAAGAGCCTGCAGGAAGCTGGTGCACAAGTGGTAGATGTGAAACATTCATTTTTATTGACCTGATAAGGCCACGTATATCAACAAATGTTGGCCACCACTGCTCTAAACCATTTATATGCCAAAACAAATGACCAGATCTCAAAGGTTATTAGTGACTTGTTGTATGTCTAGGTTTGGATCCGTCATGGTTCCTGCAATATGTGGCTGTATGTGACAAGCAGACGGATTTCCTCTACTTTTTCCTGGTGAATGACTGGCTGTCTGTAGAGAATGAGCGGAATGGAGGAAGAGTGGAGAAAGAAGTTCTGGCTACCTGTGAGTGTTCTATTGTTATCTTTTGTGCACTATATTAGATACAGTCAGCTGTCCCGTTAAAGGGTCCACCTATCTAATATCTATACAAGAGGTCACATGGTTAACAACACTAATCAGGTGCACTGTGGAAGATCACTTGGTATTAAGGAGTCTCATTTGCACCAAGGAAGGATTGCATTACAGCGTGACCAGACTCACCATCTAACATAAGACATGATGGACCCATGGTTTGCATGACAGATTCTGACTTTACCTTCAGCAGATCATTGATGAAATTGAGGTTGGTCAATAGATATCCAGTGAACCCACCTATCTACCAAACTGAATATCATGAATAATGCAGTGCTTTGAAAGCAGTTAAAGTCCTTGAAATCCCATGTTCCGTTTTGTTTCAGGTCCTCAGGAGTTCAGCAGCTTCTCCCAGGTGTTCCCCCAGCAGCTCCTCCTTGGTATAACAGACTGGCACCTCTGGCTGTCAGTGTGGTGGCGTCCTGCACGCAGCCGGTTTACACGTGTTCAGCGAGTCACATGTTGTGCGTTGGTGCTTCATCTGTACATGACAATCTGCTCAGTGTGGTATGGAGCCATTGGAATTCGAGAGGGAAGGTTAGTACTAACAGGTGTCATCATTGAGACCTGGTAGGGGGGCAATGTAACTTTTATGGGTGGATAACCTCATGACGGAAAACAATTGTTGTAAATTCTATGTGAAATGTATACAGTATAAGGGGGCACACTTTTGGGAAGGAATTAAAGCTTAATGTCACCCCCAGATTCCACCTCTTCCTAAAACACAACCTAATACTTAAACCCAGTCTTAAATCCTAAAACTAATCCTAATATTAGTCTGTAGCCCCTCAACCCCTAACTCGGTGCCTTCTAATCCACATTTACCTTGTCCTTGAAAGTATTGGGCCATCCTGTGCTGGAATCGGTTCCAGTCTCTTAGTGGTCATGTCATCTTTCTGCCCATGGTTGCCCTAAGAAGCTGCAGATATCTGCTATAAAAATATCCCCCTTATTATCGTTTATTATGTACATTTTTAGAAATTCTTCTTCCTCTTTAATTTTATGTTTATTGTGCTAATTTTATATAAATATTTCCTTATGTTCATTTAAAAAAAAAAATGTATTTAACTTTATGTTTAATATGCTCATTTTATATAAATATTTCAGTCTTGAGGGGTTTATTATGTTCATTTTTAGAAATATTTTCTTTTTTTTTTTTTAATGTTTATTATGTTCATCTGCCACATCACTGTAGGGCTGCAGCTAACGATTATTTTCATAATCGATTAGTTAGCCGATTATTAAGTTCGATTAATCGATTAATCAAATTAAAAAAAAAAAGGCTCCAGTGATGGACTACTAGTTTCTATTGAGATTGTAGTCCATCACGGGAGCAAGCTTGGTGCGGTGGAAGTAAAAAAAGAGTGTAGTGTGCAATATAGTACATAATACAGCGGCGCAGTACAGAATACCAGCAGCTATAGAGGAATGTAGCAATAGTACATTATACTATAATGTACTATTGCTGGGATTTGTAGTCCTCTATAGCTGCTGGTATTCTGCAGTGCGCTGTATAATGATTATACTGCGCAATGCAGATTACCACTGACCAGTTATAGAGGAACAACAAATCCCAGCAATAATACATTATACAGGGTGTTTAATATATTATTGCTGGGATTTGTTGTTCCTCTATAGCTGCTGGTGTTCTACAGTGTGCCGCTTTTTTTTTT